CGCGAGCACATTGCTGCATTCGCGGGGACAAGGACCGCATCACGATTTTCGGTCCAGTCCGCGGGAGCTGCGTCCGTTCGTGCGCTCATGGGCTCTCCGAAGGCGATGGGCAAGTACGCTGCAGCTATCCCGATGAGCAACCTCGCGGGCGCGAACTATGCCACGACGTACTCTTTGTACTATACCATCCCCGAGGAAGTCTCGCTTATCGCGGATCCGATCATCTCGGCGGCCAATTGCAGCGACGCGAGTGATGTCCTGGGTTGCCTCAGGGCCCTTGACGTCGACACGCTTTTCCGTCTTGGGACTGTTGCTAGGTCGGTCTCATTCGATGTGCCATTCACCATGTGCTGACGGTGCGCCAGGTACCTCGTCGTGGATGGTACATACATCGTCCATCGCCAGCTTCCTGTCGACGGCTCTGGGGAGGTTGCCAACGTCCACACCATGATGGGCTTCATGCGCGACGACGGGGCAGGGTTCATTGGTTACCCGGTACGAGATGTGCTCCCTCTCCACGGTGAGGATTGTCCTGACGGATGTGGATAGACCAGCGGAAACCTGACCGAGGCATTGATTGCCGCGTCTCTGAACACCAGTATCGCCGACAACGCGCTGTTCCCAGAGCCGTCTGGCCCCAATGTAACGCTGAATGTCTACAACGTGACTGCTGGTGCTACGACGGATGTTGAGTTCCGCTGTCTGGACGAGGCGACGGCGTTCTCCGTGGTCACTCACGAATTGTTCAAGAGTGTGTGGTTCTACGAGTTCAACAGAAGTTACGAGCCACCCGGGCATGATCCTAACGTGAGTGTTAGCAGTTACCACCGTCGGTCAGAAGATGTTGACCTAGTACACATACATCTAGTGGCCCACTTGCGAACCGCCCGTCACCCCGGAGCATCCGTTCGGAGACACTTCTGCCGAGTACTTCAAGTGCGTCTTCCTATGCTACCAACGATCTAACGTGCAGGGCTAATGCGTTCATCTTCGCTTGTTGTCTCTCCTCCGACTCGCGATTCGCACTTGTCTCGACCGCCTGCACGGACGTCCCAGGTGCCACTCCGGCGAGCTGTACTACGTGTTCGCTTCGCTCCCTGTGAACCTGCCGTACCGTGACGATCAGGACCTGCCATTCACACAGCGGATAGTAGACATCTGGTCGTCCTTCGCGCGGACGTTCAACCCGAACCCCGACCCTGGGTTCCTTGCTGCCCGCGGCTTCACGAGCACGGCGCAGCAGTTGGCGGCCCAACCAAAGTGGGAGCCGGTGACGAAGGCTAATTTGCATGGGAAGCCGGTGCAGCAGCTACAATGGGAGAGCATGATGGTGCCGTTTGGACAGCAGGAGCAGTGCGATTTCTTGGGCTTCCCGCTGACATATTATGGGTAAAGTGATGATCACGTCGGGGTGCATGTAGTCTTGGGAAAGTGGACGGAACGATGTGGTGGAGTCTGTATACGGTGGTATATTCTAGTCCGGAGAGGGGGTAGCAGGATGAGACGGAAGGTTTGTCCCACCTTGTATGATCTAGCGTGAATGACGCAAAATCATTTCCTAGTGTAGGTATGTAAGCTGTAAGCCGATGCGATTGCTTATCCCGCTGGCCGAAGGTGGATACCTGAATTGAGGGCGGGCGGCCGAAACTTGAAAACGATTGTCGTAGGAGCAAGGCACACGCCGATGAACACGCAGTTCTCGCGGAGACATTTAGAACGTCGCCCAGGCTCCGTGTATTGCCCAAAGTCATTTGGCGACTTCGGCTCAGAACACCAGTGCATCAGAGGCTGTTCGTGACAGAGACTTAGCACGTGGACGGGCAAAGTGCGCGGGTCACGGCTCCACAGTACAGTAGACCTGACCGTCGGACCGTCTCCCTGAGCGCCAACATGTCTCCCTCCAACCACCACAACCGGCGAAAGCACCATATTCTCCCACCCATGCTCACACGGCCTAGCAAGTGTCGCGGCATCTGCGACTTGCCAGTGGAACTCCTGGACATGATTATATCTTACCTGGAGTCCGACGACTGGGGGGTGTGGTCGTGCTCGCTTGCGTGCCGCTACCTCCGTTCGGTATCCATCGAGCATCATTTCGGCAAACGTCTTGCTGCTTGGGACAAACACACTTTCGAACACCTTTTCTCCTTCCTAGAAGCGAACCCCAGAATCGGTGCCAAGATTCGGAGCCTCACGTTGAGTGGCGCGAAGCGGGACGTTGGGAAGGGCTACTCCCTTCTAACCACCATGGACGACGCAATTGTGTTGCGGCTCGCGCAGCTTCTTCCCCATCTTGAGTCAATGGAGCTTCGCACCTTCATATACGGCCAACCTCAGCACTCCGTCCCGCCGCTTACCGCGTTGCCTCAGGGCGACACTCCCGGACCATTCCATCTTCGTTGGCTCTCATTCGGCGACGGATACAACTACTGCCTCCCTCACCGCTCTTCAATCTCCGGCCTTTTCCGCATCCTGTCCTTTTTTACCATCGACCGGCTGCATGGAGACTGTAGAGGATGTCATTTCGACCTCTGCGCTCCACTCGATCAACACTACCTCTACCGTCACTTGAAGGTCAAGGATCTTTGTTTATGGAGTTATGGTTCAGCAAACAGCAAGCATGCGCTCATGCTCCTGAACTCATTCACGGAGGCGATGGAACCGGGATGTCTGGGACGCGTCGAGATTCGATGTCGCGCTGTCTCTGAAGTGTCGGCCATACGCAAGCTCCTTGTCCGGACCGGGGAGAGCTTGACAGGCCTGCAGGTCTGCACGCCTGTTCCTGCATGCCTACCGAAGGGCTGGAAAGACCCAATGATCAGTATGTCGATGTTTTGGGCTCCAGACTCTCCACAGCCACCTGACGTCTGACCCAGGACATTGGCAAGACCTTAATCTAGCCTCGTGTCCGAAGCTCGAACGTATCTGGATCAATATCTACTTACCTGACAAGATCGACGAGAACCAGCCTACGGACGTCCAGGCACTCAGCCTCCCCGGAGCTGGTATGCTTTCCCAAGTGTCGCGTGCCTTACGCGATATCTACATCTATGTGTACGACTTGCCTTGCGTGGCGACACTGAACAACAGGCGGCTGCTTGGGTTGCAAGAGTTCGAGAAGGTCATCACGGCCGACAGGTTCCCGCTCCTGAGGAAGGTGTATTTGAGGATCAGACCCGACGAGGACTTGCAGCAGAAACCTGACTACAAGTGGCGGCAAGTTGTGGTAGGAACGCGAAACGCATTGCCAAAATATCCATTCGCGGGGAATGCTTCAGGTTCAGCGATTCTGAGGTGCAGAAAGTGAGTAACATCGATGTGTGTTTGGATAGGTGATGCGATCGTGCTCTTATCGTGACTGTTGTGGTGCCTATAGCTATACGGATGATGCTTTGGGGAGCCAATGCTGCTCTAGCTACTTATACTGTACAACGTATCCCTGATCATATCTGCTTTGCCTTGCAATCCACGAGTTGAACGATCTCGAGGGGTCGTATTTCCGCCGTAACGATTCAAAGCACCGTCGGCCAACATGCATCATATCACTACTCCACAGGGTGAACACCATCTACGCACCGTCTCAAGACTATTCCACATGTGAATCAGCGTCCCTGCACACATCGCGCGCACAAAGAACGAAATACCCACGACGTTGTCAAGCTCTGCCCGTACGTCAATAGTCTCCTCTCCGACTCGTCCCTCTGCTCGAACGTCTCCCCCGCAAATCGCAGCTACGCCCGCATCTCGTCTCCGCAATCCGTCAGCACCGCCGTGGCCCCCGCTCGATGCACCCTCGCGGGCCACCGCTAAGCGCCTGGAACGCGTCGCGGTGGCAGGTCCCAAGGAAGCGCGCGAGCCGGAACCTATACCGCATTTGCTTTCTGCCATCGCCACAGGAGCATCACTAGGACGGGCGGAGACGGCGATGGGGACACATGGCGGGAACAGACAGGAGTCTACTATGTAGTGTAGTAAATGAGTGGACCGATGCCATCGTCGCGGAGCCATCATATGCTCTGTCGTGCCCTTCGCAATGAAGCGCGTCTTGTGGATGCCTAGATGCTATGTGCAGCGTCAGGAGGTCAGCATACTAAGTCTGGTCTGAAAGGCGCGCCCCCGAAGTAAGTGGTGAGCAGCAGTGGTACTGGTAATCCATCCAGACTAAGTAGTTATAGAAGTTCTCGCTATGGAGCTTTGAAGCGGAGTTCCATACCGGCAAGTGCCGTGGAGAACAACCGCATGCGGCATGTCCGCCACGCAAATAGTCTCGGACACCATCGACTCGAATTGACACCAGCATATGCGCCAATTCGCCCCCCTTACAGAAGATCGGTGACAGTCTGTGCGGCCCCTTACCACATGCCCAAAGCGCCACATGGTCAGAGGGTACAAAGTGTAAGCGCGAACCGCCGATTCTGTGGTGTTGGGCCTAGTTCTGACCAGCTTTAGCCGTAGACATGAAGCCTACTTCCACCTGCTTAGCGCATCGCATGTAAAGAGAGCCACTCTTCGAATCAAGCCCAACCACACAATCGCTCGTTTTACTGTAAGTGGGTAACGTTGCAAGGCGTTTGTGCGGCGCCGAATCGCAGGATTCCTTGCTGGCAGTGGCCCGCATGTCGCTGCATCGAGCTACAAGGCAAGCAGCCTGTCTCATTGATTGCACGGCGTGTGGTTATTTTGGTCCCGGTGCCATGTACTTAACGCATGCCGGGCTTCTCAGACGCGGCTACCACCTCTGCATGCTGTGACGATGTCCTGGAGAAGAAGCAGAACCGCTTCCGACACGCCTTGATGGGCTGCTCCAGTCCCATATGAAGCGGTGAACAAGGTTCCGAACGGTCCACCTGCCTTACGAATTTCCTCTTCCTCGCACTCACACTGCAATCGTCAGAGTTTGTCCACCTTCTGAGCAATAACCGAGAGGTAAAGTAGGCGATGTTCGTACCACCATTACGCATCTTCGTCTCGCTTGTGCTATGCTCCGCCGCACTGTTGAGTTTTGGCGAGCGCAGGATGGACACACGCTTTCCGGCTGTACTTGTCGTGGCAAGTCGCATCGCATAAAACGACATCCTCCCTTTCGCTCTCTCACAGGGAGTTCCCGCTCTTCTGCTTGGCACACCTACCGCCCCCATTGTCACCTCATGTCTCTCTCTCCCAGCGACAGCAACTCTAAGACACGGCTCCATGGAGATGCTTCAGCCGGGCTTGCCGATCGCTGCACTACGTCTACCACTGTGGAGCCTTCGGCCCCCACCGCGAAGCCTCCGGGTCCGCCTCCCAAGTCCATACTAGATGACGATGACCCCATTCTCCCCAATATGAATGGACGGAGCTCGGATGGGAAGAAGATAGTGCTAGTGCCCTCCCCGGTCAGCCTGATTGTCTCACACAGGCATAAAAATAAGAACATGTGAGTTGGTTGTATCATCCCTTATTAGTGCTTTAGTCATCCAATTGTCACCACAGCGACGGCCATCCCTCAACAACAGGGAAACAAAAGATACTTCGGAGGAATCGTATCGAAGGTGGCCAGGGCTTCCAGAGAGAGTAATGATCACTCTATCCTCTACCTTCGATGAAGTAGAGCTGACATGGTTGTTTAGTTCTGGCAAACAGCTCGGAATTGGGTGGAAGCGGGAAATTCATCCAGAGGGAAAGGTGTACTTCCGCTACAAAGTATGAACACTAGTTGTCGTATGTCCTCAGTTAATCATCGATTTGATCCAGAACGTCTACACTGACGCCTGGTTGTACGAAGACAGTACTCTCCACAATCTTGAAGCCGCTGTGGCCATACTCTGCCGACTGATGAAGGTCCGCGAAGGCGAAGACGGCCCTCTGCCAGGCAACATTGAGATTGGTATACACCTGATAGACAAAGACGGTGTCAAGGGATGGTTTGGTAGAAATCGAGAGGATTCGGTCATCCAGGGATGCTACCATATCTGTGACATGGAAGAGAAGGATTGTTCTGGGTCGATGATGTCGACGCCGACATCGTCTGGAACGACCTCGATCACAAGATTGTCGGAAGGGAACACCTTCGTGAGTAGCACCGATGTTTCACGGATTTCACGGGTTGTTGAGGCTAATTCCGTTTCTCTATGTTATTTAGATCTTGCAGCCAAGGCCGCTTACTGGTCCGTCTCTCACTGCCTTGCATTGACGTTGAGCTGAGTGCAGATTGTATTACTATTCAATGCACAGGGAACACATACCTCTTCCCTCATCATCGGACCGTCTCAGGACATGAGCTCAACGACTTGCGCGAGAAACTAGCGTTCTGGACGTTCGGTGAGCTTCTCCGGCACGATGGCATCCGAGTCTCCAGAAGGAAGACTTACCCTCGCTTTTCTAGACGCAGGGAACTCGAAGGCGTCGACATCACCGTACACTGCGAACGAGCTGAAGGATTTCTCAAGGATAGTTGGGAAAATTGAGGTTCGTGTAGACCAAATCATGCAGTCATATTTGCAGCGAATGACGGGTCCATACCAGCCGACTCCAAGAGACCGGAAGATGCATGCATAGTTGGTCTGTGTCTGTGCTCACTACGGCCGCATTGCCTAAGCTGAATCAGTGTTTCAGGGAGACTGAAAGGCGCACTCCGTACGTGTATCTCTGTTCGGCAGAAGTACGAATGTGTTGAAATGCGGCACTGGTCAAAATCCGTTTCGCGTATTTCCACTGAGAAGAAGACGCGCAAATAAACAACTCGCGCGGTGTCTTCCCACATCATTCCGATCCGGATCACCATTCATTTTGGTTCAGATTCCTGAACTGCCTGTCCTTCTACACGGCAGCGTCATATTACGTCAACCTCAATCACCTGTGGATCGGGAGGAAGATGAGCACGAGTCGATGGAACGACTTCGTGATTCAGCTACAAGACGACTGGTACGACGCCATTACTCCGGTAGGCATAGACTAGAGGCATTTCTCAGGATCTCCAAGCTCAATGGTTCGTTCCGTTTGATAGGCGACAGTCATATTAGCCGCCAACCTGAGTTTCCTCGCCATATCTTCGGTCGACGACAGCGGCCTTCCTCACTCGGAACGCAGTCTGGGTCAGATTGTCAGTTACATATCACTTATCCTCAACGTGGCCAACATCTCCGCCTCGACAATATTGGCAAGGCAACATCGCTCCGGCGATCATTCGAGCTTCGAGGGCGAGGTACATGCTTTCATAGCGCTCTAGCCTGCTCATCAAATGCTTACTGCTTCCGTTCACTAGCCACCGAAAGGTGGTCCGCACAAGCAGCAGCTCCAAGAGCTGGAACGACTTGCAGTGATCTTCAGCATCCCGGCCACATTCTTCTGGTGGGGGTACGTGATCTCCCCCAGCCTCGTCTCTCCGCGAAACCAAGGTCGTGTTCAATCGCGCACAGGCTCCTCACCTTCTTCATTTCCATCGGGTGGATCTGCCTTAACCGCACCGCACAGCCTACGAGATACACAGTCGTGGTCACCATCGTGCTGTAAATGTTCTTGCTTCTCCTTGTGATATTGTACACCTACCGCGACACTCATCGGTCCTTTTCGGCCGAACTCCTGGCATTCTTGCCGCTTCCTGTGTCCCTCACCAGTTGTACCTCTCGGTAGCAGGGCTCCTCCCAGGATCCCCAGAAGCAGCCGGCGGACAACAGCAGCACACCCAAACTCGCCGATGTGCAGACACTCTATACGTATACTCAGCCCAACCTCCAAACCGTCTAGATTTCTGACGTTTACCTACCTTCTACGGTGCGTAATTTGATATGCGACTAACTTGAGGTATCAATCTCATGTATCACTTTGAAAGGTTTCCGCTTGTTGCATGCCACCATACACGCGTTCACGCCAAGATCTAGTATTCATGACTGTCTTTACCTCTGTAGCGCGCAATCTCTGTGTCACGTCGTTAATTCACGTAACATCGTCATTTGTAACATCTTGTAATTGTCACTTAGCCCGCGAGTCGGGAATAGAAGGGACGTGTTCGCTTCGCATTCAGCCAATCTTCCTGATTGTCAAGACGAGGTTGAACAAACGAAGGCCTCAACTCATAGGCACCCAACGACGTGTTCTGCGTAGCCCCTTGTAGACGGTCTACGGCGATCTAGGGTAGGTATAAACGCAACTCTGTCAGCCACTCTTACTCGAACTGACTGCCCCTTCCGATGTAGACATTCACCATCCCACCTTTCCAGGGGGGAAGAATGATGACGCAGAAAACTTGACTGCGCTACAATGCGCGCGAACATCTTGTTACAGTATCGCCAATTCTCATGTCATACCAACCCGAACTCCATTCCAAGTTTCCATCGTGCCTCGTATCTCGTTGCAATAGCCTCTCTGCGCCTCTCTGAAGTCTCATGTAACTCGTGGTGAGCCCTAGTCACCGCCGACGATCTCGACTCTGCATTCCCTTCTATTATCGCGATATCATGATCGGCCACACCCTAGCTCAGGCTGAGTATAACTGAGACCGGCGACGGCTTCTGTCCGTCAAACGAAGGAAAACACTTTCCATTCCCAGCCTTCATTATCCGTGCGCGTGCCCTTCCCTCCTTCTCACGTTCTCGCCTTCGGGCCCGTCTTCCGCTTCATTAAGTACGCGCGCGGTCGAAGATTCCTAGGCAGCCTGCAGAAGAGAAGGCGAAGCGCGATATACAGAAGACGCGGAAGCGAGTTGGCGGTCTCGGGCTCGAACGAAGCATTCAAGTGCGCGCAGATGATGTCATTATCAAGTACTGTATTGTGGACGGGGATCCTATCCCAATTCTGTCCCCTCGTCGATGGGGACGTTCCGGTATGGCACTGGCTTTTCAGCGGGGCGATCGTTCAAGTTGACAGCCTGAGCGGTCCCGCCCTACGTCCCATGCCCGGGCACGCAGGCTTCCTGCATCTCGGACAGGAGTTGGCTTCGCATTCCCGTCGCACGACCCAGGCTCACTGGTGGACTGACTGCACTGACGACGACCGGGTCGCATGACTCGTCGTGTAGACGTGACGTCCTTCTTGGAAGCCCGCTAGGCCCTCTTCGTACGCTGCACCATGTGGACGCACTGTGCGTTCCTACTTCGACGTGTGGCTTTCTGGGCGTGTAGGTTGAGGATACAGGCACAGGGGGTGCAGTGCGTATACGAAAGGGACGGTCCCTGGGCCGGAACATATGGCGCTCTTAGGCTACCGCTGAGGGACCGAATGACACAGTGCACTGAGGCTGACGTGAGTCCTCCGAGTTCGAGCGTGCGTGATCTGAGCTGTGCGGGCCTGGCGTAGGCCATATGGTGCCAAACCGCCCTACCCTTTCTCAGGCTAAGTCTTTGGAAGATGTGCACAAGCATATGTGATCGACCGGCACGGGCCGGTGCATGGAAGACGAATAAGCGTACCTGCAGCCATTGCGTCGAATGTTGGGACCCGAGCTAGGCCTCACAGTAGACACCCGTGTTGTTACTGAGCGGAGGGGCAGGCACTGCAGGATTCGATATGACCGACGCGCCCGCGCTTCCAATCAGGCCAGCGCACGCCTGTAATAGATCGAAATGAGAACCAGTTGGATCTTAACACGATCA